AATTTAATTTAATTTAATTTAATTTAATTTAATTATTTAATTTAATTATTTAATTTAATTTAATTATTTTATTTTATTTAATTATTTTATTTAATTATGTGCGGCCCAAACCAAATTTTCATCTTCTAATGTGGCCCAGGGAAGGTGAAAGGTTGGACACCCCTGTGCTATAGTAATAAACTGTTATCCATCTCACCTTTCCTATTACCTACTCCTATTGGTCTCTTATGACCATCATTTGTTGGATGTTTCATATGACTTATGATTGTATCTTATGATTCATGTTTTATCTCTTTATTGCTTGAATGCATACTGAGAGCTTATGCATTGGAGATAAACTCCTTGTGTGTACAATCATTGGCCAATAACATAACATCTGTTCTGTTCTATTCATGTAGCTTTAGCACTTTAGGTCAATAACTACAGCAAGACTACATTTAATCTGTGTTACTTTTTTTTTCTTATGTAAACAAACATGAATGTAGTCTTCGCTGATGCCCTGATAAGGATTAATTAGATTAATTTAATGAAACAACAGAATCCAGATCCATGTTTCTATATAATATTTAAGAAGAAAGCATAAATTCCATTTATAAATACACAGATCACTTTTTGTGGCTTGGTTCATACACTTGGAGCTATAATATGGTCTTCTTGTTTTCAAGTTTTTTATGTTGAACAAATGCTTTGCGAGCCATGGTTTATACATATCATAGTAAGCCCAGATGTAATGAACTGCATTTTTGATATTCTAAAATTCTGGCTAGAAACATCAAGATCTTTTAGAAACATATATTTGCATATGAGTAATCTCTCTTTTTCAGGAAGTGGGAGAATCAGGGCCAACACTTTCTTATTCATGCTTTACATATGCCAGAGAAGCAAAAGGAAGCTGAACTGAGTAATTGATCTTAGAAGTGATATTTGAATAGTTGATTGCTCAAATTTTGAAAGGTTTACCACCTACTTTAACTTCGTTCTCATGTACTGTCTAACTGATGACATAAGTATTGTGTTTCCAGTATGTCATTTTTGTACAAATTGTAGGTCTGTTTCCCATATGATTCTTTCTACAGAGAGACTATTTTGAAGTAGGAAAAATGCATATGTTTGCATACTAAGAAGTTGCATGTTTATGTCTGCTATATAATTGTAATAATTTCCAGTAGAAAAATCATTGCATAAAACATAACTTGGAATTTCCTTTTCCATTATTCTCAAATTCACCTCTTTCAAGTTGATACTGTGTCTGCTTATACTGTATATAATCCAGTAGCTGACCTAATCAGTAAAATAAGTTACCATCTTAATTATTAACTTAATATTTTCAACTTACTTTGTTTTTACACATTTCAATTAACCTGTACAATCTTATTTGTGAATAAATGTTAGTGAAATTAAAGGAATTTACTATTAGTACACAACAGATCATATTCTTAAAGTTCATAGATCTTTTTTAAAAAAGACATTTCAATAAAGGCTAATTACTATACCCTTAGGTTATAGGCACATGTGGATCTGATATTTGTTTTATGTAATTTATTTATTAAACTTATATAGTGCCCTTTTTGCCTGAAGGTGTCTCTATACTGTTTTCTGTACAGAAAAACTGTTTTCAATGTTTTTCCAAATTTAAAATTATTAGCTTATTTTTAACTATGTTTTAAAGAGACAAATACTGCTAATAGACTGAGAATGAGGACATTAATTAATATAAATACAGAACAGTATTTAGAGATTCTTCATATATTTATTTAAAATGGATCCTTTTTTATTCAGAAGCACTAAATTGTGTACTTTGGATTGTCTAATAAGAGGTTGTAATAAAATTAGGAAGAAATTACCAAAGTGTTTTTTAATAGAAGCTCTTTTAAGTTCTACATAAAAAGAATGTCTAGAGCACATTGCTTTTTAGAAGCAAAAGAAATAAATGTTTCAACATTTATTCATCTCCTACCATTTTATGATGTATTCTTCCTCTTACATAATTCTTCAAATAGCCCAACCACCTACTGTTGGCAGTTTGTGCAGGAAATTGCAGACAAAGATCATCAATAGTTTACATGAAAAATTGAGAGACTGTTAGCCAAAATAGCTTTTCATGCCTTGTAAATGTAATTTTGATCCTTATACATTTTACATTTGAGGCCAGATATTTTTAATACTCATTTGTAGCTCTTTATAATACATTTTTTCTGATTTTCTATTTTAGGATCGGAAGCTGTCCAAATCAGAAAGACAACGGTTTAAGGAGGAAGCTGAAATGCTGAAAGGGCTTCAGCATCCTAATATTGTTAGATTCTATGATTCCTGGGAATCTACAGTCAAGGGAAAGAAATGTATTGTTCTGGTTACAGAACTTATGACATCTGGCACATTGAAAACGTAAGTATAAACTTGTGGAGCACAACCTGAATTATCAAAAAGAAAAGGAAAGCATAGTAATTTCCATTTTAGGCACAAACCTCCTTAAATACGGCATGGAGTATTTTTCTCCACTGTTTATGAGGAAGAGGTCAATATGTTCCAGTCTGGCTTCAAAATTATGAATATTCTGGGATTATTGCTGTTTTGTGAACGGGAATGTTAAGAGTTTTTTAGAATTTCATTTGGCAAGCCACATCATGTCCATACTATAGCAAATGCCCAGAATTCCAGTCAAAATGAATAGCAAGGGAGTCCTCTAGTGGTCAGTAAAATGTTCATAGTGTTTCAATAGCATATAATGTTCAAATATGCTTACACAGTATAATCAAAGTATTCTAATTCTAAGTAGTTCAGTTTAACTATTTAAAACTAGAATTTCTTAATTGGAGACACATTTTTGAGGTAGTATGCATACTGTGGGGCTCCAAATACAGATATTTCTAGAGTAGATGTGCCTAAAGACAGTGCTTTAAAAAAATTGGCTTGAAGGATTGCAAGAAAATAATATATATGATATTACATGATGGACAGGGCTGAACATTTTGGCTAGTTTGGGGGAGGTACAAGGGAGTTAAGTATTGAACATTGCTAAAAATGCTAAATCGTGTACTTTACCTCTTAATTTTGATAGTTACATTCTCTGAGGTCCACAAATAGGGACCACATTTAGATTATGATTTGTTACATCTCTGCTAAATATTTGAAAAGTATTAATGAGAATTTCTAAGATTACTGAGAATACTCTGAATATTCAAGTTAAGAATATAGTCTTAATAGTTTTTTAAAACAATTTGTTATATTTATATTCTTCCTCCAGCAAATCAATCATTCTTGCTGTAAACCATGTAGTTATCTGTCTTCTATGAAGATTTTAAATGTTAGAGATTTTAGAAGGGTTACAGCTGGTATTTCAATCTTAATATATTAGAAATTATTCTTAACTAGTAATTACCATCTGTGTTTAGGGATGGATCAGGGATGGACAATGTGGTGAATCTACGCAGGGCTGTCAAACTCACGGCCTGTGGGCCAGATGTGTCATGCGCTGGCCATGCTCACGCCTGATTTAGCGAAGGGGGAAAAAAAGTCACAATATGTCACGTGAGGCCACCATGATGACACAAGTTTGACACCCTGATCTACAGGTTCTTTTATTACTACCTGCCAAGCTTTCTATTGTTCCCCTCCCTTTTTAGGTAGATTCTTTTAATTGAAAGGGAAATAAGCAAATTGCAGCATGCCTGAAACATTATAAAAGGAGCATATTTTAGAAAATATATGTCAAAGCAAAACTGATTTAAAAAAAAAAATCATCATAAAACAATTAGGAAATCTTGAGTACCTATACTGAATATAATTCCTAGTTTGTTTTATTTAAGTATGAATAATTATATCTCACCTTAATCAATACCCAGGGAACAGCCAGATCTTCAGAACCTTATGAAAGACTAACAAGGTTGGGGCCCTCAGAATCTCTGGAGAAATGTTTTTTTTTTTTTTTTACATGCCTAGCAAAGCCAAATAATAGGCTTGACTCCAGGGACCAACAAGGTTACATTTTTGGTGATGGGACATAGTTCTTCTCTGCTAGACCTGATGGGTTGGGCAGAGACAGTGGCAACTGGTGATCCTGCAGAGAGCCTGACCCCATGTCATATGGGGCTTTATAAGTGGTTTTAAAGCCACAGGTACATTTACTGCTTTTAGTGTAGGGGGACTCTTTACAGTCTTTAAAATGGCTAAAGTGCCTCTTTGAACCTGCAAGACCACAGAATCATTATGTGTATTTTGTGACTCTGTGTCTTGGAAGATCACAACTAACTATTTAAAAGCCTTCATGTGCTCAATGTTTTCACCATCTTTTACCCATTGGAGACTTCGGAATGTTTAACAAATGCAGTTTTGTTTGTTTCTTTATGTATATATGTAAGTATATATGTAATTATTTTAAGTTTAAGGCTACCAGATTCCTTAATGACTCTTAGGTGCTTTACAATTAAAAAAGAAAAGTAACTAATACAGAAGAAATTTAAAACCATTCAACAGGCAACACACTAACAACAACAACAACAACAAAATAAAAAATAAAAATAAAAGCACAGGCATCTTATCCCAAGGAAACTACATTTTTAATGATTTTCTGAATGTCATTAGGATGAGAGCTATATCAATTATTGCAGTGATATAATCCCTGAGGACAGGAGCACATTTTCTGGGTCTTGTTTAATTGACAGGAACCAGGGTGCAACTCCACCAGATAGGAAGGAATAAGTGGTGACAAGAAGTCCTTCAGTTAGCTAGGCCCTTTGCAATGAGGAGCTTTATAGGTGATAACCAGACCTTGAATTATACATAGAACCCACATCTTCCTGTGCAATTCATCTACTTCTGGTGTCTTAAACTCATATGTTTATTTTGATTTTCAATTCATTTCTGTCCTTTCAAAGGGGGAGAAGAGACAGAGAGAGTGAGAGAGTAAAATGTGTATCTTTTAGTGAATATTAAGCTGAAGCAGGAATTAAATAATTGTTATCCTTTGCTACATTTACTGAGCAGCTACTGATTCTTCTTTCTTTTATACTGAATATGTTTGAGGAAGCTCTCTTTGTTCTCTTTACTAATTCACTAATTTTTGGCTTATTGTGAGAGGAAATCCATTATTATATGGTTACTTTCCCCTGCTTTTCCTGCTGCTTCCAATTTCTTATTGTGGAGCTAGTGTATCTGCCCTGGAAAATTCTGGAGGATCTCTAAATTTTATGGGGGGGGGTGGGGGGGGGAGGGGTTTCCTGTCACCTAGTGTTCATTGGGATTTTTGTAGCACAGTTATAGTAATGCTACTTATTGAGTAACATCAACTCAAGGATTTCTGATCTTATGGTATTATTCTTCACCTTTGAAAGAAAACACCAAAGAAGAATAATTGTAGCTCAGGGTTGAAATGAGGGGTTCTTGGTGCTCTCTGAGCTTGCTTGTTTTCTTGCAGTTGTTTCATTACCCAAACTAGGTAATACTACCAAAGGAAAAAATGTCCCCAAGACAAGTCAAGAATTTGCTGAAAGGCTCATGCTTGGCAGAATTCATCTTTGACAGATTCCAGTGGTCTTTTTGTATTATTATTATTATTATTGTTGTTGTTGTTATTCCAAGCCTCTGAAAGATCAGGAGTTTGTTTTGGGACAATTTCATCTTCCCCCTGATTGGGTAATCAGTAACTGACATATATAATAGTACTGTTTTTATTCCTTCTATACTTTTCTATTATTCCTAGTTGTTCTTAGCAGTATTATCAAATTGAATTCCTTAGATTTTTCCTTCAGTGTTTTCCACTGATATATAATTCAGCAAATGTTACGTTCTGCAAGACCCAACATAAAAAGTTGTACTAAATTGTTGGCAATTTGGATTCCATACTTGTTCTTCAAAATAATTGCCAGTTCTGGTTTTGTAAAAGCTGGCGCCCAGCAGTTACCCCTGCTAGGACTGATGATTTGACACTGTTGTATTTTTTTTCTCACTAAGACAACATCTCTATTGATTTCTTGTAAACAGAATGTACAAAGACAATATGATAACTATAAATATTATTTTTGCTCCAAATTTAATTACTAAAAATGAAAAAAAAATGCATATTTAAATGAGATACTGTGTTTCTATGATGGTGAACGAAAAACGCTAATGGCTTTATTTAAAAAATATTTTAGTTCTATCTATATGTATAATGTACACAATGGCTCCAAATAGTATTTGGTAATTTAAAATATTTTCTCTCAAAGTCCAATATAATTAAATATGGGAGAGGTACCCTGTTTCCCCAACAATACGGCCTCCCCCAATAGGAAGTCCCAGCATGTTTTATAGGCATGAAATGAAATTAAGCCCCTCCCCCCAAATTAAGGCCTATATTAAAACATGCGAAATGGGGGGGAATGGTGGGGGGGGCTTGCCGTTAGGAAGTACTTTTGTTGCACACCCGGATATGGTGCTGCCTCCGTTGACCCCGATACAAAGTGCCCCACCAATGCCGAGGTCAACATCCAAGCCGTCACTGCCCGTCCACCCAAAGATGCAAGGGGGGGGGGAAAATTAAGTTACCCCCAAAAAGACAGCCTAGCCATTTTTTCGGGGCTCAAAAAAAAAATAAGACCCGGCCTTATTATATGAGAAACACGGTAATATTTCTAATCCCTGTTGTTTGAACTACTTAGTACCCTTTTTTAACCTTTAAAAAAAAAAAAAAGGATTTGAGTATGACTCATCTTTGGCCAGTGTCCCCTAATGGTTAGTTCATTGAACATGAGACTGTTTTTAATATTCTATTTGTTAAATATTTGTAATGTTACTGTGTAAGCATGAGTTTCAAGATGAAGCTTACTTTTATTTGGGTTGTTCTCTCCTAGATATTTAAAAAGATTTAAAGTGATGAAAATCAAAGTGCTGCGAAGCTGGTGCCGGCAAATTCTCAAAGGTTTACAGTTCTTGCACACACGCACTCCTCCCATTATCCATCGTGATTTGAAGTGTGACAACATCTTTATCACTGGCCCCACAGGATCAGTCAAGATAGGAGATCTGGGCTTGGCAACTTTAAAACGAGCTTCTTTTGCCAAAAGTGTGATAGGTAAGTTCCAGTTCCATTTTAGCACATCTCATTTGAAACTCTAATAAAACAAAATAAGCTTGCTTCTGAGCTTTTTCCATATTTCAGCCATAAAGTCTTTGATATAATAGACCTTGTACATTTTGCATTTTTGATATTTGGGTATATTGCTGGAAGAGTGCTGATATCATAGATTGTTACAATTAGCAGAACACTCTTGCTAAAACCATAATATATGCACTCTAGTTAAATATCTGTTGCAACCAGGAAATAAAGGGAGACACAAAAGGGTGACACAAACATTCATTTTAAAAAAAGCAATCTTACCATCTAACCTTCAGTTTCTGGGTTTTGCATTTACTTTGGATTTGCCAGATATTTTATTGCCATAGAACTGGTTTTAACGGCTCTGTTCTGCTATTTTCTGTGTGAAGGAAGCAGGCTAACAAGGGAGAAGATTGTCCTTTTTAGTCTGCACTTGTGTGTTTTTAAGAATGCAGTTCTTGTTTTAGATCCCTTAAAACTGATTTTAAGGGTACAGTTTCTACCTGCAGATATCTTGTCCTTGTCACAATGAAACATTTCCTGCTTTCCAGCCAGTCTAAAAACATTAAACATTCATGGTAAAAAAAAATATGTGGAAATGACCAGTTTCCTGAACACAACATTGCCCTTTCCATGTGTTGTGTTCAACTTTCAATTGGAAAATTGTCATATTCTCAGTTTTTGTTAACAATTTTGTTAGTATGATGATTTTCAATTAAGACTTAGATACTAATTATTGGACCATGGGAGGGTGGATAGGGATTTAAAAGGTTGTCTGTAAATTTGCATAAAATCTGGTTTGCCTGCAGGAAATAATTCTTTTCTTATTGTAAATATTTCTAGCTTTAAATATCTCTGATTACATAGTATAGTTTTCTACCATATGAGAAACTGCATTCATTTCGTACCTCAGCGATAAAGCATCTCTTGCAAATTGTTTTTTGATTCAAGATGTTAATCACACACTCTGTGTCTATAACTCAATCTCTTTATATTTCTGAGTATTTTTGCCTATAGGATTTCCCTCACTATTTCCTGTATCTGTAGTAGGCCTATTAAATGTACTGCAGGTGAAATGGTAAGTATGTGAAAAGGGCTCTGGTGAGTGGCCTTTGCAGAAAAATTTAAAAATCCATTTTTAAGAAGGCTTTATTCGTAGACAGGTTTTTCATTGCAAGGCTTTGTATAAAAGTGACACTATTAAAAAATAAAGAAATGGAGCATTATAGGTCAGAGACTAGCTGTGGATTAATCAGCATTAATTCTTTACAGCAGAGAGCAGGCAGGTATGCTGAAACAAACATTGTACCTCCTTTCTCAATGGGAGGGAAGGTAAGTGTGGCTAACACATATTTGGTTTTCAGCCTAACTAGTCTCTTACTTTTATTTTTCTCCATTTATTTTCAATCTAGGATTCAACAATCATGTTTATTAATTATTACTAAAACTTATTTTATTCCCAATTCAATTTGAATTGTAATGTTGATATAAATGGTAAAATAAATATTTACCATTCTTCACTTCTTGCAAAGACCTTGCAATGGAAGACCTATGGGATTCATTGACGAAAAAGAATGACTGAGGGTATCCTCCCTTTTCTTTTTGCCTCCACTTCTTCTTTTCTCACAGGTCTCCCCATCTGCTCCCTTCTGCGGTGAGTAACGGCAGCAGCCTCTGCTCGCTTTGAGACATTTAGAGTCTGAATCGTTCTTTTAATTTAAGGTACCCCAGAGTTCATGGCACCCGAGATGTATGAGGAGAAATACGATGAGTCCGTTGATGTATATGCTTTTGGGATGTGTATGCTTGAGATGGCTACATCTGAATACCCTTATTCTGAATGTCAAAATGCTGCACAGATCTACCGTCGAGTGACCAGTGTAAGTTTTGTATATATTTCTCTAACAATATGTACATCACCTGTGACAGATAAGCAAGAACTCTAATCATCTATCAGAGCGGATAGACAACTTCCAAGAGTCGAAGCTGGGACAAAAGAAAAGTTTCCACATGCATTTGAGAGGGCTTACTTTGGTTACCTCCCACTTTGGATAGTGCAATATGCTGCACAGGGGCTATTCTTGAAGGTACAGCTGGTCCTGAATGTGGCAATTTAGAGAGCTATGGGTGAATCGGATCTCCACCCATATAATAACCTCTACTCTGAGAATTGCATTGGTTACCAGTTTTCTTCTACCTGCCATTCAAAATGCTGGTTGTCATCTTTAAAGTCCTTCATGTCTCTGAACTTGGATATCTTCAGGACCACATTTGTTTCTGTTCATCTCATAAGAACAGGTAGAAGAAGCTTTCTTCAGCTTCTTTCATTGAGGGAATGTTACTTTTAGGGACCTAAAAGTAATTTCAGTTCCCCACCCACCAGAGACCTGTCCAACTCCAAGCTTACTTGAATTTAGAATGGCCAGTGAAACATATACATTCTATAGAACTGGTTATGATTCTGCACAGTTCGGAGAACTGGCAAATCCTGCCCCTGGCTGGCCCCGCCCCTCTCCGCCCGCGCTTCCCCTCCCAGTCAGTCCTTATCGTGCATGCCCGACATCGCTGACTGCTTTCTCCCCCTCCCAGACACTCCTTAATGGTTTCTCCCCCCTCCCGATGATCAGCTGTGCTGGGATTCCCCTCGCTGTCTCACTGTTTCTCCAAGGAGGCTTCCCTGAGGCCCAGGAAGGCAAAAAATGGAGGGGGGCACAGCACCCTCCTCCATGCTTCATTTTTTGCCTTCCTGTGCCCCAGGGAATCTTCCTGGGAGCAACCCTCCCCCCACAGGAGGCTTCCCTGAGGCCCAGAATGTCCCAAAATGGAATGTGGGGGGGTGCTGCACGCCTCCTCCAGGCTCCATTTTTTGCCTTCCTGGGCCCCAGGGAAACCTTCTGGGAGCAAAATGGCCCCCCAAGGAGGCTTCCCTGAGGCCCAGAAGACCCAAAAAACCGGGGGGGGGGGGGGAGAGTGCTGCCAAAAGAAAGAAAGAAGAAGCCATGCCTACCCAGTCACATGGCCACGCCCACAGAACAAGTTGTTAAAAAATGTGAATCGCACCCCTGGTGCACATCCCCATACCATTGCTAGAGCATAAACATGGGCTGTGGTTTGACAGAAGTAAAAGCTGAAACATTTTGGTTCTGGATTTTGGCTGAGACAAAATCTGGAGAATCCTGGCAGTCTTTCACCTTCTTTGCATGGCCTGGGCTCTAACACACCAGCCAATATTGCTTGTGGCTTCCTTTCAATATCCTTCATGCTGCAGTTGATACAGAGATGGGAGAGGGGCATGTAGGGAAAGGAAAGCCTGGTAAACTAAAATGGATAGACTCATTGGATATGCTATGCATGAAGCCAAGGACCACAATCGGGTATATACAGCAGATCTACCCAGCGTCCTGAGTCTTCCCAGTGTTTCCCTTTTCTACCTTCATTTACCTGGTCTGGTCTGTGACCTACTGGAAAACATGTATTCTGTTCACATCCCTATTTGCCTTGAGCTCAATATAATTGACACTAGTTGGCAGAAGAGTCTCAGGTCCTTAGATAGGAGCTTTTTCTAGCTTTATCAAAAATGCTGAGAGTAAATCTTAGATCTCTGGTTCCTGTGCTTTGTCTTTAGACTATGGTTTTCTGTGAAATGTGTGTCAACAGGACACTGTAATAGAACTGCAGCTATCACAAAAATATTAATGATACAAAACTGCAGTTTACTGTGTTTCTTTATCGTCTGGATTTTGCTCTATACATTCACTTTTTACTGCAGGCAAGTGTGCTGCAGTATTTATTTTAGATGCAATTTAACAATAGTTAGTGCAGAGAGAGTTGTGCTAAATTATGCATTTACTGCTCACTGTGATGTCTGTAATCAGTTACCATGCTTTTTCTGAAAGTGTTTCTTAGGTTTAAATGTGAGCAATAACTTTTCTAGGTTGGAAAGCATACATCTTCAAGGAGAAGAAAAAAAAGTGTATCTCATTGATTAGATGTAGCCTGTGCAAAGTTCTGTCTAAAAACTTATTTGCTTCTTCAGATGGAAGCTTTTATAAAGGGGTATATCTATTCTGCCTCAGCAGGTGGCAATGTTTAGCTTAGATTGAACTCAGAAGTTCAACAAGGCAGCCCTGGTTAGTACTTCAATAGGGGATTGATTTCCTAGGGATGCCAAGACTGGGAAGTCAAAATGCCAGAAGGCAAGAGCAAGGCTCTTCTGTTCATAAATAATCAAGGTTTATTTGAAGGCATATTTTTTTAAAAAATGTTATGTATGTTTGCATAATACTTTTTAAACATTTTTTTTCCTTTGCCCGTTATCATTGTGGCTTTCTGAAGCATGCAGAAATTGCCAGCAAATCTTTTAAAATAATCGCTACCTCTAAAACTCGGCATATTCAATATCCAGTCTCCAGCCTCCCCTTTTTAAGGAAGATTGTTGAGATGGGTAATGCCACAGGGTTTGGTCCTCTCTCCCTTGCCGCTCTTTAATATGTCTATGAAGCCTGGTATTAAAAGGGATGATCATCTGATGTTTTGGGATGTGGTATCATAAATATGCTTATAGCATTGAACTTCATATCACTACCACAGGCTGCAGGGGAGAAGCTATTGACATTCTGTACCTGCAAGCTATGAAGGTCTGGATGAGAGAGAACAGGAAGGTGAACCCAAGTAAGGCAGAGTTGCTATTATTACATTGGGATTTCTATAGATGTCAGTGTGATCTCTGTGCTGGCAGACACTATCCATAAAGGAGCAGGTTTGTGATTTGAGAGTCTTCCTGGACTCATAGTTCCTGCTTGAAGCAGGTGGAGTTAATGACTGGATAGGCTGTGTTGAATTTCAGCTGCTGCACCTATTATGATCTTACTTGATGCAGGAGAACCTGGTTACAGTAACTGATTTTCACCTAGTTGGACTATTATAGTGTGCTTTATTTGGGCTGCCCATAAAGATTACTTGGAAAGTGCATCTGTTCAGAATGCAGCAGTCAGTATCCTTTCCAGCAGCGGGAACCCTGATTTTCTGAATTCTATCTTAGTTGCTAAATGTGTTTCTGGGTACATTTTAAGGTGCTGGGATTTATCTTTATGGCTTAGCATATTTGCAGAGCTGCTTGCTCCACTAGATCTTGTAGGGCACATTTGCTTATGGTTAATGATTTGGAGATGGGATGGGCTGAGGACCCAAAGCTAGAAAGTACTTCTTTTCTATAGCAACACCAGTGCTGTGGAATGGCTTCCATATGGAAATCAGATTCGTTTATCATAAGCTTCAGGAATTGTTGAAAACAGAACTATTTCAAAGGGCATTTTCAAACCAACAAACATCTAAGGTGATTACTAATCTGCCTAATTTATAAATTATATTTATATTTAAACAACTATCTGATCCATCACACATATAACATATAATAGTTTAAGAATATCTCGTGTGCCTTTTTCCTGTTGTGATTTATTATGTTGCTTTATCATCATTTGATTAGTTCTAACTACAGATTTCATATCATTCAGTTTTATCATTGTTTCATCTCTTATTTTTTTACCACTCTCTTAAATAGCCTGCTTTCTGTTCTGTACAACCATATCATTTTGCATTTTCCCATCTAACTCCAAATGGCTATTATACTAATGCCTTCTTTTCAACATAAAATCCCTCTTTCTTGTCTTATTTTCCTTTGCTGGTGAATTTTAAAATAGACTAAAACATAGTGGTTCCTCTCTTGGCCATAAGACAGTAAAAAAAATCCATTGCAATAATATTTTTATCAGAACAATAAAATTCAATAATAGTTGCAGATTGTTGAGGTAATTCCCCGTTAGGAGAATGAGCGCATACAGGGAGACGTATTTGAGAGAAGTGTTTGAATAATACACACACAGTACACAGATACACTGTACAGTAAATGTACAGTACAGTAAAACCTACAGTAAATGTAGGTTTTTACTTCCAGAAAGGTTTAGGCAAAGTCCAAAATAAGCAATCCAAAGTCATTCACAGGTAAAATCAGTCAGTTTTCATCCAGGGATAATCCAAATATCAAATTCCAGTGTCAAAAACAGTTCAGTATCAGACTTACATTAAATCCAGTAATATCAGTCAATTAGAAGAAATGGAGCAACGGCAATACTTTCCAACAGAAGGAAACAGAGATACTCACTCAGACACACTCTCTTCTGAGACTAAGACTAAAACAATCCAGGTTTCTGGCTCCATCTTATGGCCGTTTGAGAAACCACACCTAATTACAGTTTTGCATTTTCTTAAAGATACAGTTTTAAAACGTTTATCCTGGTTTATATATTTCTAACCCAAATAGCTGTTAGGTGACTTATATTCCTAACACAGATGTTTGAGTATATTTGCTCTTTTATAAAATATTCCGATTAAAGCAAGAAAAAGAGATATTTTGAGCTGTATCAGTTTTCTCAAAAATCTTAGAAATCTTATTGGCTCTTTTCTCCAGGGCAAGAAGCTCCGCGCTGTCCCAGACAAATGAGTGTCCAAATTTTGCTTGAAAACCTCTAATTATGGAACCCCCATAGGAGGAGGCGAAGTATTCTGCTACTTTAAAAGTTCCCACAGTCAGGAAATTCCTCCTTATTTTCCTCCTTAGTTTGAGCTTGGATCTTTCTCTGTAAAGTTTACCTCCATTGGTTCTTGCCCTGCCCTTGGCAGCTATGAAGAGCTATGAGAGACAGTTTAGTATAATGGCTAAGATGCTCGCCTAGAAATCAGGAGATTGTTGAGTTCTAGCCTTCACCTAGGCATGAAAGCTGGGTAGGTAACTTTGGACCAGCTTCTCCCCCACCCCACCCCTACTATACAGCCAAACTCACCTCACAGGGTTGTTGTGAGGAAACAGGAGCAGGACTGTTGA